CTGTTGGTTTACAAAGACACCTGCCAAGAGAGTATGCAGGAGAGTGGAGCCCATATACAGCCTGTGCTCTGTGCTGTGTTCACGGAGTCCCAACAGATGGAATCTTCAAGATTCATAAGTAAGAAATTGGAATTCCTAGGACCCTCAGAGATTTCTGAAATCATAAGTTATTCTGTATATTTTCCTAAACAGTTTATGTAATAATGAGTGACCATTTTAAATAATAATGAGTTACCATAATAAGAGTGTATCGTTTTCATAAGAATACATGATTCTTTTTTTCCTGGGAGAATTAAGCTAAAAATTTCAGAGGGTTTTCTGTGGAAAAAAAATCTGATAAATGCATGATTATTATTACACTTGATAACAGACATTTTATAATAGAAAGACTAAATGAGGGGAAAGTAACATAAAACAAATGCCAAATAAAAACCATTTTAAACATTAAGGGTGATGAAGAAAAAATTCTTTTATTTTACATTGATGTTGGTCAAATCATAAAGAATCACCAAGTTGAGCATTAGGGTTTCTTCAAATAAGCTCGTGTCTTTTTTTAAATATGAAAATGTTATTTTACTTGATTTTTAATTGATATTTAAAAGTGTATATGTTATAAATTTATGGGGTATATGTCATATTTCAATATAAATTAGATGTGATATGATTAAATGAAGCCAAGTAATCAATCTACTACAAATACTTATCATTTTCTTTGTGGCGTAAACATTTAAAATCTATTCGTGGCAACTTTGAAAAACACAATGCATTATTGTTATAGTTATCATTTTGTTTGATAATCAATAAAACTTATTCCCCTGCCTAACTGAAACTTTGTACCCTTTAATCAACATCTCCCTTTTCTCCACCTGTCTTCCTCCCTCAGCTCTGATAATCACTATTCTATTTCTACTTCTATGTGTTATGACTTTTTTTAGATTCCACATGGATGTGAAATCATGTGGAGTTTGTTCTTCTGTGCCTGACTTATTTTTCACTTAACATGATGTCCTGTCCTCCAGGTTCATTCATGTTGTCACAAATGATGAAATTTTCTTTTTATTTTTTAAGGCTGAATAGTATTCCATTGTACATATATACATCTTCTTTAACCACTGATCCCAGTGGATGTGACACACATGTTGCTTCCACATCCGGGCGATTGTAAATAATGCTGCCGTGAACGTGAGAGTGCATCTCTTTGGCATCCTGATTTCAATTTCTTTGACTATATATCCAGAAGTAAGATGACTGGATCATATGGTAATTCTATTTTTAATTTTCTGTGGAATCTTTATATTCTTTTCCATAATCACTGTATTAATTTATACTCTCACCAGTAGTACACAAGGGTTCCCTTTACTCCACATTCTTGCCAGCTCTTATCTTCCAATGTTTGGATAATGGGTATTCTAAGAGGTATGAAATGACATCTCATTGTATTTTGATTGACATTTCCCTGATGCTTAGTGATAATGAGCATTTCTTGATATATCTGTTGACCATTTGTATGTCCTCTTTTAAGAAACAACTATTTTGGTTCTCTGTCCATATTTAAATTGGAGTTTTTGTTTTCTTAAGTCTTGAATTCCTTATATATTTGGGGTATTAGCCCCTTATCAGATATATAGTATACCAATATTTTCTCCCAGTACATGGGTTGTCTCTTTACTCTATTAATTGGTTCTTTTTCTGTGCAAAAAGTTTTTGTAGTTTGGTGCAAGCTTAGTTGTTTACTTTGCTTTTCTGGTCTGTACTATTGGAGTCTTAACCATGCATTTCCTGTTTTCTTCCAGCAATTTTACATTTTCAGGTCTTATATTTAGGTCTTTAATTGATTTTGAGTTAATTTTTATATATGGAATGAGGTAATGGTTCAATTTTATTATTTTGGGTATGTATATCCGATTGTTCTAATTCCATTTATGGAAGACTGCTCTTTTCCCATTGAGTGATCTTGGTACCCCCTTTGTCAAAATTTCTGGGCTCCTTATCCTGTCCCACTTGTCAACTGTTTCTATGCCAGTACCATGCTGTTTTGATTATTATAGCTTTGTAATAGATTTTGAAGTCAGGTATAAATACAAAAATATTTTATCTGCTTGTCCCGATTTTTATTTGGCTACTGAAACATACATTGTTTTTTTTTTCCTAGTTCTGATTTTAGATCAGTTTCTGGTTGCATGAAGAATGTGTTAAGGGGTCATCAGAAAAATTGTGATTTATTTTTGCATAGGAAAATATAGAAGAAATATGTCATGACTATTCTGACAACCCAATAGAATACATATTCTCATCTCCTCACATTTTTTGTTAAACTATTCACAAAGAAAAATGTAATATATAACATTATATATAAATATGTTATATTTCACACATATATTATTTGTTATGTATATTACATAAATGTATTATAGCAAATATGCAAACACTGAAAAATGCCAGTAAACATTACTGGGTATATCCAAATAACATGACATTCAGATCTTTTAGCAAACGTTACAAAACTATACAGAACCAGGAGTCAAAATTGGAATTAGAATCAGTTAGGTGGCATGTTGGTTAAGGCAACTAGATCCAACATGGCTGACTGTGTGGTCTGTCTCGGCTTTGGCAGCCTGAAAAGCACACAGGGGTACGTGTGTGTGTGTGTGTGTGTGTGTGTGTGTGTGTGTGTGTGTGTGCACAAAATCCCAAGTGGAAAATGGAGGAGAAAGGATTGTAGTGTGACCATTCCCACTGTGAGGTGATTTTTCACTTTCCTTCTCTCTATTTCTGTCCCTCTCTCTCTGCCTTTCTCTGGTGATTGCGTATGTCCTATAGCAAAAATTGTTTTAATGGAAAAAAAAAACTGAATTATAAGTCCAAATGTCAATTTGAAAGACTTATTCTGCTTCTGCTTTATTTCTTGGAAATAAATAAGATTTGTGCAAAGTATGCTATGTACACAACTAATTAATATTTTATTCAAGAATGATTCACCATTAGTGGCAGGCACACAATGACAGACACACAGTACCTACTTTAGTCCATTTTGCTGCTAATAACAGAAAATCTATCTGCATTTGGATGGCGTCTAAAAACAGAGCTTTATTCAGCTCACACTTTGGAGGCCCAAGGTCCAGAGGCCTTACCTGGTGGGCATTTTGCAGAGTCCCAATCACATCACAAGGGCAAGATCAGAGGAGAACAGCTGAGTGTGTCTCCCTGTTCTGGTCTAGTTCCTTCTCCTTATAACCCCACCAGAATCCAGTCACGGGGCGGGGGTGGGGAGGAGTGGTACCCTAATAACCTTAACCCCAATCTCTTCTCAAAGGCCCCACCTTTCAACACCACAATTGGATCAAGTTCTTACTCTCTTAATCCTGTTACAATGGCTGGACCCATGAATCTGGGGAGACATATTGAAACCATAGTGGCAACACTCGCAAACAAAGCTAACTGATGAGAGTGGGGCCACGTTTCCCTACTTGTTCCTAATTGAGAGTCTGGACATGCCTACCTTCACCTTTGACTCAGCCATGAGCATTTTCCTGTTTCTGCTTTTTATGATGTCAGTGGATTCCTTGGAACCAGTAATGCCCCTATGATAATTATTCCACTTTAATTCTCAATGGAGACTTAGAATACCTTTTGCCATTTTCCCAATGTGTTTACTAAAGTTTCTTGGGATTCAGGATTCAGGAAAACATTGTTCAGAAAACATTTTTGGGGGAGAATTTCAACTGAGGCCATGTCCATTAGAGGAAGGGATGTTTTTCTTGCAGGAGAAGTTTTTCTGGTTCTCTTATGCCTATAAGACTGTCTGTGCAGACAAAAATGTGCACCCAGGCTATTTTACATGCGACCTTGAGGTCATCTGAAAAGCATGGAAAATACCCGCTAAAAATCTTGGAGTCATGTAAACATTTTTAAAAATGCAAAGCCACTGGCAAACGTGCTTGGCTGATCTAACCAAAGCCATGAGAAAGTAGGAGGAAAACATGAGGTAAGTCAAAATATTTATGTCACACGTACTTTTGGGCTTCAGCTTTAAACAAGGCCTATATATTATCAAATCTCCTATCCCAAGTCAGAAAGGAATATTAATCTGGGTTTTGACAAACCATTTTCTTTGCCCTATCCATCACTCAAGTACTTAAATACATTATGTAAACCAGTTCTCATGTAAAATATTTTCATATATGTTATCTGACTTGAGAGAAATAGAAACTGGCCAGTACATGTTTTAAGTACCTGCAATATACCAGGCACCATGCTATTTATTTCCAGTGTGTTTCCTCAATCATTAAAATAATACTACAATATAGGTATTTCATTCTATTGAAAAAATTAAGGCTCAAAACCACAACTTGTCAAGTCACTGCTAATGATACAGTTTAGAATTTAACCGAAGTTCAGCCTCAAAAATCTATGCTCTTTCTACCATTCCATATTGAAAGTCATAAAATGGGAGAAATCACAATACCTGATGTCTGCCATGCATATTCCCCACTCCCCAGTCAGGAAAGAGGGCTGGTACTAGGCAGCCTGTCTGCACTGTGAGGACTAATGTTTTTTTTTTTTTTTTTTGGAGAGGTTTTTGCTATTGGGCCTATGTGCTTGCCAGACAGACAGAGAGAGACAGAGAGACAGAAAGCGAGAAATCACCCCCCAGGGGGGATGGCCACACCTCAATCCCTTCTCCTACATTCTCCTCTCGGGATCTTGGGCACACACACGCGCCCGGCGTGAGTTTTAAGCCACCGGGTCCAGGACGCGAACCATGGTCGACTACATGGGAGTCCAGCGACATAGCCATTACGCTAACTGCTGGTCCTGGTGAAAACTAATTTTCATCCTCAGGGTAATAAGATCTTTCCCAATGCACACTTACATACCAACAGGGATTCTTTCTACCCTTATTTGAGAGGAGCATACAATAAACTTGAAAGCAGAAAGCTTATACATTCTGGAAAAAAGGGCTAAAATTCCAAACATATTTTTTTTAAAGTCTTTCTTACCTTTAAATATTTCACCAGCTTCTGAATTTGCCAATATTCTGATGGCAAATCTGCATTTGCCTCCTGACGATGATCAACTGGCTCTTCATCTTCCTCACTCTCTGAAGAGCTCTCACTAATAATTTCCTCGGGTTTTTCAATACTCTTACTAAGAACAATAGCAAATATATACATATAAGCTACAGCATGGACAGCGGTACAATGATAGCATTTTGGCCACACGTATATTAAGCATTAGGTAAGACAGCAACACCTTCTGAGTTCTAGAAGATCTCTGTTAAGATCTATAGTGGGAGATGAATAAACCACATCTCTAATGGCAAGCGCAGTTCAGTATGGGTACAATATTAATAACACAGAAAACAGTGAGAATTAAGCAAGGGAATTAGGTAAATGTCCTAAGACTGTCCTTTACAATAAGACAGCCACTAGTTGCATGTGTTTATCTATATTTACATTTATTTAAATTCTCTTATTTAACTAAAATTGGATAAAATTCAACATTCACTTTTCAACTACCCCAGGCACATTTCAAATACTTGACAGTCCCCTGGGCTGGCGGGCACCATAATGGACAGCTCAGATACCAGCTGTTTCTGTTGTTGCAGAAAGTTCAATTGGGCAGGGCTGCCAATGGCTTAACGTGAAAGTCTCTCTCTTCCCAAAGAGAGCCAATATTTAGCACATCCCTTTTTGTAATGCCTTCATTACAGTACTTGGCAGAGCATAAGATGTCAAAGCATCAATGATATGAACACAGCCAGCTCAGGACCAAAGGGTTAACCATTGGCTCCTGGGGACACTGGCATGCTGAATGTTAAGTTCCACACAAGCACATCACATTCTGTGGTTTACACTAGGCCAACACTATCATCAGAACCTTGGGCAGATCTCTAGAGATGGCCATGGCCGTGGCCGAACATGCCCTGTGCCCCTGCTGAGGCCCCTCATGCACACTCATTTACCCACCATCTCCACCTCCCACTGCTGGCTTTGGGTCACCAAATTCATGAGGATGTCTCAGAAACTGCACATCCAACACTTACCCGTGAAGAGGAGGTAAGCCCAGGGTACTTATCTCCATCTTGTTTCCAGTATTCCAGCTTTTATGTGCCAAAAGTAACTTTTCAAATATTCTATCTAATGTTAATATTAAATAAGGCCAATAGCAACAACCAGTTATGGGCACTGATCATGTCCCAGTTACTTGATATTTATTATTTCCAAACCTCACAACTACCTTGTAGGGTAGGCTCTACATTTCCCATACTACAAGTAAGAAAACCAATGCACAAAGCAATTAAGAGGAGAGAAAGTATTTCCCTTGAAGGCTCCAAAATTACTTAAAACCAGCCCTGACAGTAGCATATTAAGGTGGCCTTCAATATCAAAGTCACAAGGTCAATGACTAGTACATAACATGTAACCCCACAGTTCCTTTCCCCTGTTCCAAAATCCAAAAAGTTCTGAAAATTGTTTTTTTTCCACACTGGATTTAATTTGTTGCCAAGGCCTTACCTAAAATGTCCATGGATTTGATTATAGAGTTTTGGCCAAAACCCCAAATAGAGGCACTATTTTTAATTGATTTTTTCATAACTCCACACATTTAGCCCTAAGATTTCAGAAGAACAGACTGTGGGTCAATATCTCATTTTAATTCTCCCAATAGTCTACAAATTATTGGTGCTGTTATTACCTTCATTATAGATATACTGAGCTAAGAAATAATTTGAACAAACTCCATGGGAGTAAGTGACTTTGTTAGAATAAATAGTATAATAAGTATACCATAGACAAGTAATCCTGTCACTAACAATTCAACAAAGTTCTTGCCACGGGATGTGTATGCTCACCAGAGAGAGACAGTGAGAGGGAAAGTGAGAAATCACCCCCTAGGAGGATGGCCACGCCACAGTCCCTTCTCTTCCATTCTCTTCCTAGGGTTTTGGGCATGCATGCACACACAACCAATGTGATTTTTTTTTTTTAAGAGAGATTTTTTGCTATAGGGCCTGTGTGCTCACCAGAGAGACAGAGAGACAGAAGGCAAGAAATCAACCTCCCCACCCTCAGAGGGGATGGCCATGCTGCAATCTCTTCTATTCTATTCTCCTCTCAGAATTTTGGGCACATACGCATACAAACCCAGCATGAGCTTTAAGTCACCGGGTCCAGCACTTGAACTGGGGTCAACTACATGGGGATCAAGTGAAGTAACCATTGCATTCTGCTAGTCACTCCCAATGTGATTTTCAAGCCTCCAAGTCTGGGACTTGAACTGTAGTTGGCTATGTGGGAGTCCAGCACCTTAACCACTACACCACCTACTAGCCCCTCAATATATACTTCTCATTAAGAAGAACAAACTAGAAGAACTGTTACAGAATATGTAACGATCGATGTTGAAGACAATGGATATATCTATACCCTTGATTTGATTATTACATACTGTATGCATGCTTTGAAAAACCATACTGTACTCCACAAAGATGTACAATGATTATTTGTAAACCAGGAATCATAATTTCAAAAAAGAAAGAAGAAATAGCTTTATGAAAGGAGCTGTCCATCCTGATTCCGGAAGGACCTGGAGTAATCAACTTCCATGCACTCTGGTATTGAATAAGCATGAAATACGTATTAAATGCTGTTGTTATCATGCCTATTCATTCTACACATATGTGGTGAGGGCCTAATGGGAGCCAGGTATCATGGGAATACTACTAAAGAATGCTGTCTTTCTGTGTCTTTCTCAAACTACTGGGAAAAACTGTGATTTTGTTTTTGAAGATCTGGTTTGTTTTCATCTTAGAGACTTTGAATTATGTTGCTGGCTAGGTTTTTGATCTTTACCTTGATTATCAGCAAGTAGAGAATCAAACCTGTAATCTGTCTATAATAACTGTCTAAGGTCCCCATTTTTTCTTTCCCAGCACCTCTCTTTCCTTTTAGCTTTAATCCCTATCTGAAAACTGTTATTCTTATGTTTTCTCACATATCATCTAGTGGGGTCCACAAAGGAAGGACCATATCTGTTTTATTTACTGTCTCCCAGAGCCTAGCACATAGATGGCACTCGGTAAGAAGGAAGAATGAATCAATTAAAGCATGTATTGTATGAATGAGTGGACAAGCAAATAAACAAATCCAGACTAGATTAAGAGTTTGGAAGCAAAGTCTTTCAGGTGATAAAATCCGGAAGTGGTGCCAGGAATGCGCTGCTGGAGAGGAGGCAACAGTCAGTGGAATTGAAACCAAAGAACTTACAAGACAAGGGCTGGGATTGACCTTCCACTTGGGATTTGAAGTTTCGCAGGATGCTGGTGGGAAGTGGGGTGAAGCTGACCACGAGTGGACACCAAATCATCAGTGATGGATCCATAGGAGACAGCAGGAAGGAGAGAGGGCTGTGTCTGCCTCCAAGGAAAGGAGGTCTAATACAAAGAGGAGCAAGGCAGCGTGAGACACAACGCCGAGAACGCTGCCTCCTGCCCATGCTGTTTGGTTACGCAGGCCATGGGGCAAAGAAGATCTGAAGGAGAATCACTGCCCTCGTGGAAAAATCCCAGTCAGCGCAAAGAAGAGGAGACTGGAGGCTTTTGTGTACAGTCTGAGGACGTAAGGAAATTTTTTTTCTTATATATTATGAGGAGACTCAAAGAAAAGGCTTACAAATAAAAACAATGTGGAAAGATCATTCAGATGGAGGTACTGCAGAACGGCATGGGGATGAGAGCCCAGGAGAAGAGAGGGCTCATTCAGGTTTGGGTTAGAGCGCTGTCTGTGGATAGGAAGAGCTCACGGAGCCTACCAACCACCCTGGCCTACTATGTCCTTTCTGAGCCCCATTTATGGGAGGGTTATTGACATCCTAGAGAGGGCAAACCAGAGATGAAAAAGGGTTATCTGTAGGTATTTAATTTGGATTTAGAAAAGTTGTGTTAGTAGAATCAGGATAGTTATGCTAATATTATAAGACTGTTATGCAGAAGATGAAGAACACTTTAGAAGCCTCTAATTCAAAATCAAGTTCATAGACAGGGCTAGTTCATTTGAGCCTTCATAAGCATATCTGACTCTCATTTTCTTTCTTTTTCTCCTTCCTTTCCTCTCTCTAAGCCCTCATGGCTTTTCTTTCAGAACAATATTTTCTATTCTATCCCATTTATGATCACACTAGGGGGAAATGAGTAATTTTTACATTTTACCTATTAATAAAATTACATGATTCTATTAATTTCTCATGTGTTTCTTGGCAGAAAGCCCCAATTCGTGCACTTCCCAAAGCCAACTTGTGTATAACCACAGTGACTGTGCTCTTCTCTGGACCGCAGTAGTGAGAAAACTTGAACTGAAGTACATGATTCTAATTCAATGAGCCACATGACTTAAAGGTTCAGTTCATCTATTCTCTTGTCCAAAAGATGTCAAGAAAGTTGGGTTGGTTACATAGGAAAAACAGTAGATTAGGTCCATCCAGGAAATGACATAAATTTAACTTAAAGGTCCTAGATTGAAGTGCAGACTAAATTCTCAAGAGAATCTCTAAATTTACTCCCCTTTAGCCTAGCAAGCTCCTAGAGTGGAAGGCAGAGTGTACTAGGTCTATCCAAAAAATCACATAAATAAGTAACACCTCCAGAGAAATCTTTCCCTTTGTTTTCATTGATGAGTCTTTTGACACCTAATTTTAAACTAGTGTCCCTATTTTATATGATTTCCTTCCTTTCTTGTCCCACTACAACTATACATCTAGGAGAGGAAAAAGAAGCAAACTTCAATGTTTAACCCATTTGTAAACTACACATTAAAAAATACTTCTCTACCATATCCCTATACCTATGAATAGATGTAAAGGCATCATTTTTATTATTGAATCATAGTGGTTGCTTGGATATATTCCAATACATTCCAAGAACTTTACCTTATCTATCATGGAAAAACAGAATTAAAGTATGAGTTTATCTTGGTGCAAACATTTTTGAAATCCATGCATAGTTTTTCATAATATGCATTATTATTAACTATTTGAAACTATTACCTTGAAGTTCTCTAGCTCACTAAAACCCAATTTAGAATTAACATACAGGCCAATCCATGGCACAGGAATAATGTACTACTCAAGAAAACCCAGATCCCACACGGCAACCAAAGTCTGATTCCCCAGCCTGGTTAATTTGAAACACATGGATGGACACATGAATGAAGCCTAAGATCTAACAGGCTGGAGGACTGAAGGGGATCACAACATGACCAGACCCTGTGGAGGGTACCCATCCCTCTCCCCCCTCTGTCCTCGCTCAGTCTCTCTCACTTATGCATGCTTATCATAAATAAAGAAAAATTTAAAAAGTAAAATTGAAATACTTTAGGTCAAATATCCATTTCAGGAAAGATGAAGTAGATATACTTTTCCCTATTCCTCCCATTAAGTACTAACTACAGCTAAAATCCTGGATATTGGGGCCAGTCAGGTAGCATGGTTAAGGCAGCTGGAGCCCACATAACCAACTTCATGGTTTGAGTCCTAGACTAAATAGCTTGAATCATATGCCGTGTGTGTGTGTGTGTGTGTGTGTATGCCCAAAATCCTAAAAGTAGAATGGAGAAGGGACTGCAGTATAACCATCTCCTGAGGGTAGGGTGGGGGGGGTGCTTCCTCATTTTCTCTGTCTCTCTCCAGTACGTTCACACATCCTCTTGACAAATTAAAAAAATAATAATAATCCTGGGGCCACCAGGTGACATGGTGGTTAAGGCACTGGACTACCACATGGTCAACTGCAGTTTGAGGTCCCAACCAGGCAACTTGAAAATTATGCATGTCCAAGGTCCTGAGAGGAGAATGGAGAAGAAGGAATTGCAAGGTGGCTGTTCCCCCAGAAGGACTTCTCACTTTCCCTCTCTCTAAGAGGGAAAGAATTTGTCTAAGAATTTGTCACCAACAAACATACCCAAAAAAATGGCTAAAGAAAGTCATCTAAACAGAAATGAAAGCAGGATTCTTTGAACATCAGAGAGGAAGAAATAACAAGGGAAAGAACAAAAAATATGGGAAAATTACACTTGATGGCTGAAGCAAAATTAGAGTACTCTGTATCTCTCTCTCTCCAGTAAGCACACATGCCCTATAGAAAAAAATTCTAAAAAAAAAAAAAAAAAGAAAAAAAGAAAAAGAAAAGATCCTGGATATTATATGTAAACAAACATAAGATAACTCTGAAAGGTAGAGAGAAAAAGGATCCAGAGGTCCGAGAAGCAACATAACTGAATTTCTTTTTGTCCCTAGACTATGTACTGGAGGATGCTAGCAAGGCCAAAACTCCAATGCTTGCAGACAGAGAAAGTACCAAAGGAAAGCCTGCTCGTTCTAGTCAAAGGCCTGCGAAGGAACATATTTGCGGCAATACATTTTATGGTCAAATATTTAAATTCTACAGATAAAAATATCTTGAAAGTAGCCGGAAAAAAAATGCATTACATATAGCAGGACTACAGATTCAATAATAGCAATTTCTCATCAGACACCATGGAGGCCAACATTTTTCAAGTGGAAGCCGAGAGTTTTTTTTAACCCAAAAGCAAAAAACTCAGATTGAGGCTCTGTTTCTTTGTTTTCTCCTCCTGGTTTTTAATCTCTAAATTGTTGAGATTGGCTAAATTCTATTGTTCTCTAGCAAAAATATCCTCTAGGAATGAGGGGAAATCAAGATGTTTTCAGATGAAGGAAAGCTAAGAATTTGTCACCAACAAACCTACCCAGAAGAATGGCTAAAGAAAGTTATCTAAACAGAAATGAAAGAAGGATTCTCTGGACATCAGAGAGGAAGAAATAATAAGGGAAAGAACAAAAAATATGGGAACAGTACACTAAATCACTGAAGCAAAATTAGAGTGCTCTGTAGTCTGCTTCTCAATGCATATAGTGAAATATTTAAGATGACTATATGGAAATGGGGGACAGAGGAAAGCAAAGGGAGGCAAAGTTTCCATACTTGTCTCCAAGTGCACGCTAGCAAGCTTTAAGTATGTATATATAATATAATACCTACAGAAGACAAATACCAAAAAAACTAAACAAAGAGACAGACCCCAAAACACTCTAGACAAATCAAAGTGGAATGTTAAAGTGTTCAAGTAATCCACAGAAAGACATGAAAAAAGAAAAATTTTAAAAAGAAACAAACAGAACTCAATACATAAAATGACAGACATAGAGACCCCTTTAAGGATGCCCCCCCTACTCCCTCTGGAAATAAATTTTTAAAAAAGCAGAAATTGATATATTCACATTGGATTAAGTAGACTTCAGGAGGGAAAAAAAAAACATGTACCAGGGACAGAGGGTCATTAGATAATGATAAAACAGTAATCAAGTAGGAGCCACAGCAATCCTAAATAGGTATATACCAAACAACAGAGCTACAAACTCTATGAAGCCAAAACAGAAAAAGAGAAATAGAAATATTTCACCCCTTTCTCAAAAACTCATAGAATAACTGGAAAGAAAACAAGCAAGGATATAGAAGAAATCAATAACACCATCAAACATCATAGTTTAATCCTCTTTATCTAACTCTACCCCCCATGACAGCAGAATATATGTCTTTTTTTTTTTTTGGAGAGGTTTTTGCTATAGGGCACGTGTGCTCACCAGACAGACAGAGAGAGAGACAGAGAAACAGAAAATGAGAAATCACCCCCCAGGGGGGATGGCCATGCCGCAATCCCTTCTCCTCCATTCTCCTCTCGGGATCTTGGGCACGCACGCACACGCGCCCGGCGTCAGTTTTAAGCCACCGGGTCCAGGACGCAAACCGCGGTTGACTACATGGGAGTCCAGCGACATAGCCATTACGCTAACTGCTGGTCCCAAGAATATATGTTCTTGTCAAGCACCCAAAGAACCTATACCAAGGGATCCTGAGGTATACAAAACCTAAACCTCTTTAAATGAATTGAAATTGCATACAATGTGTGCACTGATAATGATGCTGAAAGGGGAAGTATGTAGCACTAAACGCTTATAATAAAAGAAGAAAAATCTGAAATTACAAAATGAAGAGTAAAGTAAACCCCCAGAAAAGAAAAGAAATAATAAAGAGCAGTAAATAAAATTGAATAAAAAAACAGAAAAACAATTTGAAAAATGAATCAAACAAATGGTGACTCTTGAAAATAGCAATAAAATTGACAAACTTCTAGTAGACTGAAAAAAAAGACACAGATGGTTAGTATCAGGAGTGAAACATAGCATATATCACTACAGATCCTACAGACAATAAGGGGAACAATGAATTACCATCTATATCTACACAAATTTGACCATTTAGATAAAATAGACCAATCTTTTTAAAAGTACACTACTACAGTTTACTTAATATGAAACAGATCATTTTAGACAGCTCTATAGCTACAAATGAAATTTAATTTATAATTTTAAAACTCAAAACAAATTTTAATTTCCAATTGGTTTTACTGAAGGAGAATTTTCTTTCTTTCTTTAGTTTTTACTATAGGTTACATGTGCTTGCCAAAAAGAGAGAGAGAGAGAGAGAAAGTGAGAAATCACACCTAGGGTGGTGGGGTGGCTATGCCACAGTCCCTTCTTCATTCTCCTCTTGGGATTTTGGGCACACACACAAACAAAACACACCTAGTGTGGCTTCTCAAGCCACCAGGCCTAGAGCTTGAATCACTCAGTCAGCCATGTGGGATCCAGCTTGTAAGACCTCTCTGCACTGTACTTGCAACTGACTGTGAATCTATATATATATTTTTTTCAAAATAAAAAGCTTTAAAAAGTTAATTATCAAACAAATTGAATATGTTATGATGGTGGAACCCACCCCCTCCCCCCAAAAAAACTTAAAACAGCATAAATGCAGTAGAGTCTTAAAGATTTCCCCCCTGGATGCAAGCACTATAAAGTTGAATTTCTGTCATTTCTTCCCACCACATTGAAACTATCAAAAGTGGCTGATCCTTGTCTTCCAGATATGTCACTTTTGTTGTCAAACTAAAAGGAAAGTCATTTACTAATGGGCCTTCTGTTAGCTGTCCTAATTAGAAATAATATATATCACTTTAGAATTGTCAGTCACTGGGGATCAACAAAGGGAGGCCAGACAGATGACATAACTGCTAGGACTTGACTGTTCAGAGGCAGGAGAGCAGCCAGGAGCCCTCTGCTCCCAGCATGTAGTTGGCTGTTCTTTGCATCAACTTCATTTCTTTTCCCAGAGTCAACCAATAGCAGTAAACCCCAGTGTTTCAAGTAAATACACTAAAAGGGCATCTTGTAAATGTATTTAAAGAAATCCAGTACTATACTTTTTACTAACGTTCTCAGGAACCGTGTATATAAATATAATGGCAAGAACACCCTTAGCAAGCCTGCTAACTAGCTCACTGGCTACGGGTGGGTTTCAGGAACTACTCATGCTAACAGTAACATACCGGAGTAACTGAGCTCTTCCAGGTGAAATAGATGTTCTTGTTTTGTCCAGTCTTGTCCCGTGTTTTTCCTCTTGGCTATCTTTCACTAAGCTTTTGCGGCTAAAAAGACAATCAACTTTATTGATTAATTTAGGCAGATGAATAGGAAGTAAAAGATGAAAATGCATTCAAATGCTCCATCATTTTCATGCACCCCAATGAAGTCTTGCTGACACAGAGAATGACTGTGAGTCCCAGCCTGCTGACACTCGGAGATGTCTCTTTTGTTCTTCTATCACAGCCATGAGTTTCATGTACTAAAGGAATAGTCTGTCGGTCCACCTTTGTATAGGAACAGGCCTTGGTAGGTTGCCATTGTGTCAGTCCTTTGCCTATGCATCTCCTCTAAAGTAATTGCCCTCAGTTACAGTTTCCCAGTTTCTTATCTTACCAGCCCGACTTGTAACAGGGCACCTGCACCCCGTTTTTCCAGGTTTAGCATAGTCCTTGGCACACACTGTGTTCTCATGAAATACTTGCTAAGGAAATTTGTCATTAAAAGAAAAAGCACATGGAAATACCAGTATTTTAAAATTCACTTCCCAGTGAAGAGTTGCCCATACTTTTTTGATTTTTAGACTCACTCTTTCAAAAACTGTTACAAAGGTCAAACGGCCCTAAACTGATGAGAGTTAGAGGAGCGAGAATGTCTCTCCTTCCACAGGACTCCTTTCCGATGGTCCTTACTCAGGATGTTGTCACCCAGTAGGCCAAGGCAGCAAAGGAGGTGTGGGTTCAATTTCCAGCCAGGCACGGTGGCTTGTGCTTGTCATCCCAGCTACTCAGGAGGCTGAGGCAGAAGAATGCCAACACCACAAGACCCTGTCTAAAAATACCACACACACATATGCACACATGTATATATGTGGGTATACACACACACACACACACACACACATGCACAGACACGTGCTTTTTGTGCATCTGACTGCCTTGGCATCTAAGTGATGCTGGCCCTTAACCTTTGCTTTAGCACCTATTTGTAGAGGACCCCAAAATATACTTGTTTTGTATATTTCCCACATTCATCACACCAGTGTCCACTGTCCATTGTGAGCCTATTGATGTTTCTGAGACTCTAGCCTTTTCTACAGTATTAAAGTTCTGTTAAAGGAGAAGACACCAACTCTATGAAGTTTTCTCTACTCCCTTCAAGCTCTGGCAGAACCAACTTTGACAGATCCCTACTGCTCTGTTTACAATTCCCACTTGATTTCTCCAGGTGTTTTATCATCTTTCTCACATGTTCTTTGTCCAAACTTACCACTAAAGGGAGATGAGCTGTGTCCTTTACTTTCCTTCACTGTGCTCCAAACATGAAGCCCATTGCTGTCAATTCCTTCTACATGGAATACAAGTAGGAGCAGAAGGAACCAACCTATACTACGACAGATATGTGACTATGTGCTCTGAATTTATTATTATGAAATAAAGTTCTGTGAAAAATTAGGAACATACATAGTTACTGTATCAGAAAACCTGTCACACAAATGTCTACATACTCTTTGATGTCAACAGAGGTCTTCCAATTTAAACTTGGCTCTAGTCTCTTGGTCATTTGAGTCTTCGCTAAATTAATGTGGTTCTTCTGATATGTAGTCTTGTCTGAGCCCAGACGAGCTTTATGGTTGGTGGCTGCCTCTTCCTTCTTAGGTGCTGCATCAAACTGCTCTTTTTCTTTCTGTTGTTCTTCATCAAAATTAATCTCCTTTATTAAAAAAAGAAGAATAATTTTTTTACAGTGACATCACTTCTAAATTATCTAGCACATTCTGAAGATTCATATTAAGTTCAAGAAGGGTGGTCATAGATGCCTGTAATTATGTTGCTGAGTGACACAAGCTGAATAGGGGAACTTCAAGACCAACACCTCTATTAGAATAAGATTGTTGGGGCCAGCAGGTAGCAGTGTTTAAGGTGCTGGATTCCTATGTAGTCAACCATGGTTCAAGCCCTAGACCCAGCAGCTTGAAAACTCACACTGGGCACATGTGCATGAATGCCCAAAATTCTAAGAAGAGAATGGAGTAGAAGGGATTATAGCATGGCCATCTACCCTGGGGGATGGGTATGATTTCTTGCTTTTTGCCTCTGTTTCTCTCTTTCTTTCTGTCTCTGGCAAATGCACGTGCTCTATAGCAAAAAAAAAAAAAAAAAAAAAAAAACTCTCTTTAAAAAATAAATAAATAAGGTGTGTTAAACCTACACCTTGCTAAAGCATACACAGACACAATAGCAAAGTTAGACCTACTTGCTCCTTATCGCCAAAAAAAAAAAAATATTAAGTTCAAACCCTTTATTGACTGGGACACACTGTAGGCAAATTCCTTAAAGACAAAGGAAATATCTAAAGTTAGCCAGAGACACAAGACATATTACATACACAGGAGGAAGCACACATATTTTAAGAAACTTCTCATCAGAAATGATGCGAGCTAGAAGAAAGAGAGTGATGTTTCTAAAATATTGGAAATAAAAACCCATCAACCCAAAAGTCTATGCTGAGACCAAAAAGAAAAAAGAAATTTTTATAAAAAAAAAAGGCAAAATAAATATTTTCAAGGATGAACAAAAACAGAAAAGTCACTGTTGACTTGTGCTAGAAAAATATTAAAAGAAGATACTGAATCAAAAGGAATATCATACCAGCCAGAAATATGGATCTCTATATAAAAAGGAAAAACTGAAAAAATGGCAAAAAATAAATATAAGAGACTTTCTATTATTGTTAATGATTCTATTTTTTTTAAGAGAGAGTTTTTTTGCTTTAAGGAGCATGCACTCACTGGAGAGACAGAGAGACAGAATGTGAGAAGTTACCCTGCAGAGGAGATGGCCATGCCACAATCTCTTCTCCCTCATTCTCCTTTTGGAATCTTGGACGTGCACATACACATGCCCAGTGTGACTTTCAAGGCACCAGGTCCAGGACTTGAACCACAGTCGGCCACATGTGATTCCAGCACTCCAACTACTATACCACTTGCTGACCCAAATCATTCTAATATATTGACTATCTAAAGGAAAAACAGTAGCAACTTTTTGAGAGGTTATGTTCCATGTGAAAATAAAATGTATGACAATAATAGCAAAAAGGAGGGGGAGAGGTATTTGAGGTTGCTATTTTCAGTCAGAGGCCAGACTGAAAATGTATTCTAAGAATCCCTAAAATTTTCTGAAACATGGAAAAACTCACAAACCTAAGACTGAAGAAGTTTAGCAAACTCTAAACAGAATAAATCCAAAGAAATCCACCCTAAGTCATACAATAATCACACTCAAACTAAAGTCAAAATTCATAAAAATCATACAAACAATGCTTTACAAGATAAAAGCAACTAAAATAACTGAAGATTTCATCAGCAGACACTTGCACATCCATGTGTATTACAACATTATTCATAATTGCTAAAACATGGAGACAACCTAAGTACCCAAAAACTGATGACTGAATTGAAAAAATGTGTCACATATACACTAGGGAATACTGCTTAGCCATAAGAGACAATAAGACCCTGTCATTCGATGCAAAGTAGATAAATATAGAAGAGATATAATGCTAAGCAAAGTAAATGAGACTATGAAAGATAAACACTGTATATATACACCAAATGTCTGCATTTTATGGCAGGAATTGAAAGATCTGAAAGCATAATAGAAGGACAAGTGCAGATACCAGAGTCTGTACAGTAGAGAAGATGGTAGAGGGTGGATAGGGAGTGGGGGGATTGGGGAAGAAACACTTAGCAGATACAAGAATGTAAAGTTTGCTGTTATAAATGGCATATATGGTAACATTCTTGATTTGATGATCAGAAACTGCATGCATACTTTGAAAAAAATCATACTATGAACTATAGAGATGTACAATGCTAGAATATAAATAAATAAATATTTTTTAAAAAAAAACCTGTAGGTTTCGCATGACATAACACAGAGGCCAGAAGGAACCAGATCAACATTTTTAAATGCTGAAAGTAAAGAGTCATCAACTTAGAATACCATTAATATATCCAATGAAACTATTCTTCAAGAGTAAAAAGGAAATCAAGATCTCCTCAGATGAAAGAAAAGAATGTCACCAACAGGCCTACACAAAAGGATAGCTTAAAGACATTACTAAGAAAAAAATAAACTATGATAAAAAATTAAAGTTGCAAGGAAGAAAGGAAGAAAAGAACAATGGAAAGAGTAGAAGCATGGTTGAGTATACAAGACCTCCTTTTTCCTCTTAAATTTTCTAAATGGTTTGATGGTTGAAGAAAAAAACTTAGAACACAGTCTTACATAGTTATCAATGTATGTCAACAAAATACAGACAATATTAAAAATTAGAGAGGGTAAATTGGAAGACTTAAAAAGAGATAAATTTTCTATACTACACATAACTGGTAAAATGCCAAATGAGTAGACTATAATAAATTACTTATGTAATACAACAACCATTTAAAAAGCTATACAAAGAAGTATATTCAAAATACTAGGATTAATGGGAATCAGCAGTTGGCGTAATGGCTATGTCGCTGGACTCCCACGTAGTCGATCGCGGTTCGTGTTCCGGACCCGGTGGCTTAAAACTCATGCCGGGCGTGTGTGCGTGTGTGTCCAAGATCCCGAGAGGAGAATGGAGGAGAAGAGATTGCGGCGTGGCCATCCCCCCTGGGGGGTGATTTCCCGCTTTCTGTCTCTATGTCTCTCTCTGTCTGGCTGGCGAGCCCCCACCCCCTTCAGTGAAAATCTCTCAAAAAAAAAAAAAAAAAGAAAAAAGAAAAAAAACTAGGATTAATAAAAATGGAATCCTAAAAGATGTTCAACTAACCTACAGGAAGACAGACAAAAACAACAGCAGAGGGGGACCAGCAGTTAAGTGTAATGGCTATGTCGCTGGACTCCCACGTAGTCGACCGTGGTTTGCGTCCTGGACCCGGTGTCTTAAAACTCACGCCAGGTGCGTGTGTGTGTGTGCCCAAGATCCCAAGAGGAGAATGGAGGAGAAGGGATTGCAGTGTGGCCATCCCCCCTGGGGGGTGATTTCTCGCTTTCTGTCTCTCTGTCTCTCTCTCTCTCTGGCAAGCGCATACACCCTATAGCAAAATCCTCTCCAAAAAAAATAATAAAAAAATAACAGCAGAGGGGAAAACAAAATTAAACTGGCAGACTTAAACCCTAACATGTCAATAACTAAATAACATTAAACTAAAATACTAATAGATACATCAGTGGAGCTTTACAAAATGGATTTTTAAAGTGGCCCAACTATATGCTGTCTTCTTAAACGCTCTAAGAAGCTTACTTCAAATATACTGATGTAAGATGCACTCACTTGTTTATACCAAGAGATGAAGGTATCCAACTTTCCTTATCCAAAAGACAAATATCTTCTCTATAACTGAATGTAAGACTGAGAATTATTTTGACTAATGTGTATATTTTAGTGTATAATCACTTGTTTTATATGCTCCAAGTAAAATACTGCTCACAGCTAAAATCATTAAAATTATTTTAAATGCAAATACAACTACCTTAAATAAAAGGTATTATAAACATTTTTCTAGAACTAGAGAAATAAGAGTAAATGAAACCTTGATATCAATATTATTCTAGCAAAATGGTTGACTAGTGATGCATAATGTGCTTCCTGCCCACAAAAAAAAAAAAAAAAAAAAAAGGCCAAAACAAAGAATAAGCAGCTAATATTGAGTTGGAATGGTTGAAGGAGAGCACTGGAGTGTGGTGAGGACATGGTGGAGATGTTCCAGAGCGGGATGCCAGTCCATGCCCTATTGCCTCTTCCCTCCCACACCTGGACCATACAGCATGGCTTGGATGGCAGGCAAGTGAGCGAGGCTTCATCTGTGTTTACAGCCGCTCCCCATCAGTCACAGCATTGCTGCCTGATTCTGTCGAATCAGCAGGGGTATTGGATTCATGTGGAACCATGAACCCTATTGTTGTGTGATTGCTTCATTGTATATTGCAATGTGGTAGTATGGAAATGGGGTGTAAGGTGGACATGATGTGCTTGGATCATCTGGGGCCAATCCTTTCCCTGATCCATGAAAGAACTGTCTTCCATGAGATTGGTCCCTGGTGCTGGGAAGAGTGGAGACCACGGCTCCAGACTCTAGAGACTCAAGACAGCCTTAGAAAGGAAGGGAGAATCCTGTATCTGCCACTCTCACTATCCAGTCAAGACAGGACTGGAACTAGAAGGGACTATCACAATAAAAGATGGTGAGAACACCCACCCCTTTCCATCATCCCCCATTAACACCTTGGGCACCTGAAGTCTTTACTACAGGGCCATCCTGCAGCCTTCACAGGCACTGAATCCAGTTTGAAGGAGGGAAAGATAAGAAAGGAGGAGAGAAAGAGAGAGAGAAGAGAGGGAGAGAATGATCACATAGCCCCAAGATTCCACTGTGGCATATACCCAAAGGAACTGAAAACAAAACTCAAACAAATATTTGTGCACTCATATCCACAGCAGCATTCCTCACAATAGCCAAAAGATGGAAAGAGCCCAAGTGGCCACCAATAGATGAATGGATAAACAAAAGTGATATATACATAAATGGAATATTACTTGCCATAAAAAGGAATGAAGTTCTACAACACAGATGAACCTTGAAAACATAAGTGAAAGAAGCCAGACACAAAAGGACTAATCTTGTGTGACTTTACCGATATGAGACATCTACAACAGACAAATTCACAGAAACAGGAAGTAGATTAGCGTTTACCAGGTGCTGGGGGAGAGCAGATGGGGGTTATTGCTTAATGAGTGCAGAGTTTTAGTGTAAGTGATGAAGAAGATTTGAAATCGTGATGATTGCCTAACATGGTGAATATAATTAATGCTGCAGAATGGCACACTTACACATAAAGTGATAACTTGCACATTTTATGTATGCATTCAACCACAGGAACACACAAAAAAGGATAAGTGTAATCCAGGCAAGAGAGGATCGAGCCAGGAAACAAAAGAACTCAGAGGATGATGACAGAAGTGTCAGGACCAAAGCAAAGCAGTCTAGCAAGAGAACTACAGGGCCAGGAGAGAAATGGACAGAGAGCTGATGTGAGACCTGTGGGGTTGACATTCTCTTGAGACCCAGGCTGGAACTTAAACACTACATCAGCATCTTTTTTTTGTTGTTGTTAACTTTTCTTGTTTATTGTTAGAGGACACATGTGCAATGCAGGGGTGCAGGGGAGCATGCTCCAATGAGGTCTGGTTACATCATGATCCTTTTTCCTCTAATCCTCTATCCCATCAGAATTCTGGCACATGTGTGCCTGCCACGATTTTCAAACCACCCAGGTTGGGACTCTAACCCTGGTCTGCCACGTGGGATTTGGCTTCCTCTGGGTAGTGCCTAAGTGCTTCACGGCTGCACTGCAGGGACAGCCACACATTAGTATTTCTAGTATTTATGCAAAACATTTTAATGTGAGGTTGGCACTGGAGTGCAGCAGTCAAGCACTTGCATACTCTTTTTTGGGGGGACAAGGAGGGTATTTTTGCTATACGGCATGTGCACTCGCCAGAAAGACAGAGAGAGACAGAGAGACAGAAAGTGAGAAATCACCCTCCAAGGGGGATGGCCACACTGCAATCCCTTCTCCTCCATTCTCCTCTCAGGATTGGGTACGCACATGCTCCCGGCATGAGTTTAAGCCATCAGGTCCATGACTTGCACCGCGGTCGATGACTACATGGGAGTCCAGTGACATAGTCATTACGGCAACTGCTGGTCCCCATACTCTTTTTTTTTTTTTTTTAATCACCATAAGGTTCAACGAGAATTTTATTTCCTAAAATATTAGATTGATTTTTTTTTGCCCGGCATTATTTAGAAAACCATGAAAGACAGAGAAGAAGCACAGTTCTTGTGCACACACAGCTGAAATACTTATTAGGCCAATTCAATTAGGCAGAAATCATGAGCTGCCCAGACAGGATGATAATAATAAGAACAGTTAAGCCTTATTAACATGGATAAGCCTCTCGTTCTTAGTGTTATTAACTCACAAGAGAAGATGAAAAGTCCCATATAGAGCGCAGCAATTAAATACTCTGCACAGAACACGATCCCACAGGGACCACTACAATTTGTATCTCAGCCCTAGAGGTTTGAAAAACATTCCGGGCAGAAAAAAAAAAATCCCAAAATCCATACCCAAAAATACTCAATTCCCTTTTCTTCCATTTCTCTATCCAGTTGTGGTGTACTTAGGCACCACACAGAGGAAGCCAAATCCCACGTGGCAGACCAGGGTTAGAGTCCCACCCTGGGTGGTTTGAAAATCGTGCCAGGCACACATGTGCCAGAATTCTGATGGAACAGAGGATTAGAGGAAATAGATAGAGAAGTGAAAGAAAAGGGATTTCAGTGTGACCACGTCCTAAGGCAGGGTGCTTTCTTTCCCTCTTTCTGACTTTCTCTGGAGAGTGTATATGCTCACTGACAATTTTTAAAAGTCCTATAGGTGGTTAGAACAGCTGGATCCCGCATGGCGGACTGCAGTTCGAGTCCTTTAAAAACACTCAGGGCACATGTGCACACATGTCCAAAAACCCAAGAGGAGAATGGAAGAGAAGGGATTGTATGGCCATCCCCCTAGGTCCCCAAAATAGGCAAAATTATAATTTTTATAGTTAAGTAATATAATCTATAAATGCTCAAAAGGGACTATAAAACTTACCTGTTTAGACATATTTTCTGAAAATTTTGCTGATATTTCTTTTAAAAATGTGACCAGGTCTTTATAAATTTCACCTTTTCTCTCATAATTAATTTCCCTTTCATCATCTGCTTTGCCCTTGGGGAGAAAAAGTTTGGTGCCATTATTAGTGTATTATTAGTCGAAGAATAACCTAAGTACATGCACGGCTTTCTTCTCTAAAGGATCCACACAACAGTAGTTACACATGAAGTATACAGGTATAGGCTAAGCCCGTCCCCCTCCACTCAACGGCCTCCACTCACTCATTCATCCAGCACGCATTGGCTTCGTACCTCCCAGAAGCATGGAGGCCACTCCACTACAGAGCACGAAGGTGAAGGCCCCCTCTCTCTGCTCTCCTCTACTGGGAAAATGCATTATGACTTCAAGAGCCTTAAGTGACGAAGTCATAAAAGACCTAACATTAGAATGTCACCGTAGAAAAGCCTGTTTCTGTGACTCACACTCTGCTCTAGTTCTGTGCCTGTCAAGGTTGCTACAGGCTCGTTTTCTAGGGTTATGATCTCCATGAAACCATCTGCCCCTCTACCCTAACTCTGTCCCTCTTTCTCCTCTCTTACCTTTCTTCATTTCCCTTTTCTTCCCTACTCTACTATTCTCCCATAACAATATGACATATGCGTGTGTATGTTTATGTCACATAACTGTACATGCAGTCTGTTATACTGTATAACTATATATAAAAATGCATGAATGCGTGTAACTGTAGTATGCTTTAAATGTTCTAATTATTTAATAGTTTTATGGTCCTTGTCTTTCATTTTACAAAACTGAGAGGATTATTTAAAAGGTTTTTTTTAAGAATTATTTCATTTTCTTTACGATTATTTTAAAAATTTTTTGCTATAGGGCACATGTGCTCACCAGAAAGAGACAGACAGGGAGAGAGAGAGAATGAGGAAGGAAGCTGCCAGGTCCAGTACTCAGATGGCTTTCAGCCATGTGGGAGTCCAGTGCCGTAACCATTCTACCACCTGCTGGCCCCATACTTCAATGTTTCTATATCAAAGATAGTTTATATGAATTGAAACAAGTCATCCTTGCCCCTTCCTAGACAATCAATGAAAATAATTTCTTCTTTTGTGTCTTATTTTCTAATTAGAGATGTCATTTTTCTAAAATAATCCAAAAAAGATGCAAACTCAAATTTCAGTTGTATATTTTTCCCATGCAGAAAAGTGACCCCCACCAAAAAAAAAAAAGTACCAAGAAAAAGTACCAAAAGGCATTCTAGCGAGAAAGCTACAGGCAATCAAGGAGGTGGCACCAGGGTTTGGCAGCACTATGGACCAAGGTGGAACAGCCCTCCAAGCAGTCCGTGACAATCCTTAATGGGTCCCCATTGAGGATTTGTGTCTTTCTTGTAGAATTTTGCTTGAGTCCCAAATTTACACCAAAGATGCTGAGGGCAAGAGGCTGCAAAGGCAGAGGCTAAGCTCTTTCTAGTTAGTTTAGTGAATAGGGATGAGACTAAAAATAGTGTTTCCAGGGGCCAGTAGATGGCATGGGGTTAAGATGCTGGACTCCCACATGGCCAACCATGGTTTGAGCCCTGGACCTGGTGACTTACAAATCAGCCAAGTGCATGCGTGCCCAAACTCCAGAGAGGAGAATGGAGGAGAAGGGATTATGGCATAGCCATCTCCCCTGGGGGTGATTTCTCACTCCCCCCCCCTCTTTCTCCAGAGAACCCTATGGCAAAAATAGAAATAATAGAATAAAATAAAAAATAGAAAGAAAATAAAAGAAAAAGAATGTTTTAATCCAGAAGACTTGGAGGCCACATGCTGGGTATCTCTCAGCTTGAAGCCTACCCACATTCTGCTCTGTGGTTCTTGGACTGTGAATCCACAAAATGGTACTTCTCTTTGCCAGGTTAGGTTGGGTTTAGTCAACGAGAAACTAAAGGAAAATTGAAAGGCTGGAAGAGGAAGGAAGGACATGCCCTTTTTTGCCATTGTCCCCGTTTGAGTCACCTCAGCAGCTGCCCTTCCTCCCCCCAGCAATGGCAGTTGCTTCCGGTAGCAACCATTCGTTCCTGGCTTGCCTTTTTTTCCCCTCACAGTTCAGAACCAGATTCATTATGCCCTCAGGAATATCTTCAAAGGTCCAGGTTCCAACTCTTCCAGCTCTATGAATGCCCTCCTCTGAGCTCCTAGGCATGAGCTAACTGGGGAGTGTCCACTCCCCCGCGCTCTGGGCCTCAACTTCCTGGGGCACTTCCTGCCAGCTTCTCCATCTGGAGGATCTCCTCTGCCTTCCTTCACCCCCTCATCTCAGAGTGGAAGCTGCAGGTATTCGGAATTACTCCAGTGTTCCGTTTCTGCCTTTTCTACCCTTCCATACCTGCGTCACTATCAGTGAACTGGACTGTGTGGGAGAGGTTTTAGTTTTACAAAGTGGAAGGTGTCACTGTGAAGCCCGTTTCTTAGATGCCTGGTTAATGGTCACAGTGACAAACAACGGAGCTCTTTCTGAGGCCATTATGGATTTGCTCAGCAAACACACAGCCAAAGAATCAGCTTCACCCCCACAGAGTAGTAATTCATGCTCTGCGGTCACTGGGGTACAACCCTTGAGACATGGCAGCCTTTTTAAAGACCTAGCTAAGAACCCAAGTTCACCGCCTTTAGTTATGCTTTTTTAAAAGTTACTTACACCGTTTAAAAATACTCCTTCTGCACTGCATGTAATGCATAAAGTTTCAACATCGTGTGGTTTCACCAGCACATAACAAATTTCCCCATAAATCTGTCTCCAAGGTGGGGCCCGACATCCATTTGAAAATTCATAATCTGAAACCAATCGTCAAGCAATTAGTAAAGCTCTTTAAGCTGGAGGTTTGTAAAAATATGTTGGCTTAAACAAAATATTGTTGACATTGTGAAGTTTTCATTTAAAAAAATATATCCAATTCTAACACAGCCATTGAATGTATTTTGGGGACCAGCAGTTAGCATAATGGCTATGTTGCTGGACTCCCATGTAGCCGACCGCGGTTCGAGTCCCGGATCCAGTGGCTTAAACTCACGCCAGGCATGTGTGCATGTGTGCCCAGGATCCGGAGAGGAGAATGGAGGAGAAGGGATTGTGGCGTGGCCAACCCCCCTGGAGAGTGATTTCTCACTTTCTGTCTCTCTGTCTCTGTCTTTTCAGCGAGCGCACACGCCTTATAGCAAAAACCTCTAAAAAAATTATTTTGAAAATACAATTGGGAACATGGAAATCACAGAAAACGAATGTGAGGAGACATAAACCTGAGGTGTATTCAATGGATTCCAAGACCGTCTCTTCTCCTTTTCCTGAAAAACGCTTGAGCAGTTCTATATGCCTCTTCACAGTCACTGGATTTAAATGAATTTCTCTGAAATAAATGTTTCAAAATTCAGTTTACATGCTTTAAAACAGAATCTATAGCAAACATATAAATACATTTATATCAGGATGAATGGCCTTTTTTGTAATTAAAATTGTAGTTATTTTTAACCCATGATATAATCTTTTAACAATACTGTCAAAATGTCAAGAATTGGGGCCAGCAGGTGGCATGGTGGTTAAGGGCTGAATGCCAAATGGCCAACTGCAGTTCAAGTCCTGGACCCAGAGGCTTGAAACTCACGCTGGCATATGTGCATGTGTACTCCAAATCCCAGGAGAAAGGAGGAGGAGGGATTGTAGTGAAGCCATCCCTACGGAGGGGTGATTTCTCACTTTCCCTTTCTCTGCCTCTCTCTGTCTCTGTGGTGTGTGCACACACCCTAAGGCAAAAACCTAAAAAAAAAAAAAAAAAAAAAAGGTCATTTTAAATGTGTCATTAAATATACTCAATTTAGTATTAACTACATTTCCTAATACTATTCCTCTAATAATAGAAAATATTTGAAAAACAACTTTTGGCCTATACAAACTCTACATGATATTTGCACTATAGTTTAATAATTTATGTAATAGTCTTAGGAGAATGGAGGAGAAGGGATTGCAGCATGGCCATCCCCCTTGGGGAGAGATTTCTCACTTTCTCTCTCATTGTATCTGTCTCTTTCTTTCTCTCCAGTAAGCACTCATGCCCTAAGGCAAAAATCCTCTAACAACAAAAAGTCTCTGAACATAACAAAGTTATTGATGTCTTCAGAATTAGGTAAGACTCTAATAGAATGTTTTAACAATGTTAACTGCACATTTTAGTTTTTAGAATTAGAAATACCCATTCAATAAAATTAAAATTTCATTCCAACAAAATACAGTGTTAAGTCGATAGCAATAACTACCATACTTCATTTTTTGTATGTTTTTTTTCCCTAAAACTCTGAAAGCAATTTTTGAAACTCATGTCCAAAGATGTCTTTAAAAAAGCTTACAGTGAGAGATGTTTTAGAGATTGATTAAGTAGGTGCAGATCCAGTTGCTTCAGCAGTATGGCAAGCTTCATCTTAATCTCACGTTCAGGATCATCATCTTTGGTAATTTTATCAAGAATATTTAAGGCAGCTGAGTCATCTTCCATCGTACCAAAATCTGAGCCCAAGATTTTTACTACGGGATCTCTATTAGCTGATTTTAAAAAAAGTAAATGAATAACAAATTGTCATCTTATCTTCTACTACAGTAAACATAAAGACTACCTTATCCTTCAAGGTCCACTCAAACGTGTTTCTTTCACTTAGCTTTCTCTGAGCTACCCAGTTAGAATTAACTTCTGCTGAGAGTCTGTCATATTTAGGAACTTTCTTTTACCTCATGAGATATTCTACTTTGTACTGTAATATCACCTACACATGTCCTCTCCCTAATAGGACAACAGCCGGGACTGTCCCCCCTTCCTTCCTTCCTTCCATCTTGCCTTTCTCCCATCTGTCTTTCCTTATTTCCTTCCTTGCTTCCTTCATCTTTCTTTCTTACTGACTGTGGGACAGTGTTCAGAATAGACATTCAATTAACATACTCAGAATTGACGCAAAGATAGAGAAATGGATCTTCTTAGAAGAATCATCACTATTACTATATGTGCACATGTGTCCATGTAGGTACCAGTGCTCGGTATTCATAAATGCTTCCTTTCCATAATACTATATATACTTCCTTCAGCCTACGGGTCTACTGCCAGTCTTTCTCACCTTTTCCAACTGCTTATATTCTCAATGCCTATTAATGTCAATGTTGGAAAAACAAATCTAATCAAAATTCACATATATACTAAAATAAAAGTGAAAAATGTGAATGCCCAGTCATGATCAAGCCTGAAACTGATATGAAAGTTGAATCTCAAGATGTGAAAAACAGAATTTGGTAAATGTCAAAGGCAATATGGCTGTGAATGAATGAGGAGGAAAAAGCTGTTGAGAACAGAGAGATACAAGGAAGACGCGTGTACAGAGACAGAAAAGAGAACATGCCTCTGGGACTAATGCAGAAAGCTTCACTGGATTGAAAAGTTTGACTCGACTTCTTACATCTCCCTTTAATTAGTGACATCATTACAAAAGAGAGTCAGCGCCAGCACCCTCCGGCAGGAAACGGGCTGTATCACATGGTGGTACAGTGGTATAGACTACACCAAATAGTGGTATCGTCCTTCGGGCTGAGGAAAGGATGGCCTTGGGGGAGGGAGGCAGCAAGGAAAAGGAGATCAAGGAATCGACCATTGATCGTGCATCTCCACTTACCAACCCTGTGGTTGTCATCTCATCAAGGTTTATGAGAAGACACACTAGATGAATTCTGGGGGAAGCCAACCTGACTACTGAACTGCCATGTACCATACAATTTAGACCTGAAACTAAGGCTTGTACCTAAACTCTTAACCAAACTAAGGCTTGTGCCTAAGGGTTAACCAAACCAGATTTATAGCAGTCTATATTATGTCTACAATTTAAGTCCAACTTAATGATTAATTATGCATCTAATAACTAGTTTCTTGTATTCAGATGTACTCTCAATATATAATGCCTCCTCAGTAAATTAGTTTTGATAGACAGCCTAATAAGGATGAATGAGAAAGAGAGAAAATGAAGATGCTATAGTGAGGTGTCACCTTGTTGTCTTAAAGGACCACCTTCCCACCTCACACAGAAAGAGGCAGAATGCAGTAGTAGCCCTATGCCTAGAACCCACTGGTCACATAATTCCAGAAAAACAAAATACATCCAACACACCAGTAATAATCTCTTCTAAAGGAAGTCCAGATTTATTTTTACAAAAGCAGATTACCACCCATCACAGTGGCATACTAGGAGAGAGGGTGAATTGGGATGCTGTCCATCTGAAGTAATAATTTTACAATTAGTTTCCTAGATGTGTGTTTCTGTCTTTCCTTCTGATATGAACCACAGACCACTGGACTTTTCAGAAGCTGGGAAGTTTCTCTTAAACCACTTATACAAACAGAAACCCAGAAACCTAATAATAAAGTGTCAGGCCTTTCATTTTAAAGCAGAAATTTTATATGAGTGGAACATTTCAGCACAGGAAAATGAATGACGTTTTCATGCAGTTGTGCATATATGACTATCTTTTAGGCTCCAGAATTTTTTTCAAGAGACTGTTATCAAATGCTCCCCACCAAGATTGCTTCTAAATGTTCAAATCACAGACTGGAATTTAAATACCACCTTCAATACATGCTTGGGCTTCTTTCAGCTTTGTGCCTTTGGCAATATATAAAAAGCGTGATAGTTGACCAAAGCTCCTAATTTTAATTTGTGGCACAGAGAGAAATAGCAAAGGCTGTCCATTTTTATCAACTTCTTCTGATTTGACTGTTGAGTCACTAAAAAAAAAAAAAAAATTGAAAGCTTAATGAAACCTGGATGCCAATAGAAGTTATATTAAAAACACTTAAATTGTTCCTGTATCTCATTAGGAAACACAGAAAGTAAAAATAACTCTGGTTAGAAGACTATCTATTTTCCCATGCTTACCCACACTCAGACCCATCAGTTTCCAAACATACCAACAACCATCTGAGCAACAGTGTGTGTCAAGGGAGAAAAAATTAAGCGGTTTCCTGAATACCCAGTTGAACTCAAATAATTTGGTTTTCATTTTTGTGTTTCTATCAGTGTGCTGGTTTCAGACCTCTTGTAAGAAGTCACTGATTCTACAGAACCACTCATGCTTTGGAGATTTCTAGTGTTATTTTATTTATAAAAATTATATACCACAGTAATTAGTGGTTAGGAATTTTCTTGGCTGTGTTTATGAGAAAAAAAAAAAGCTACAGAAAAAATAAAAAGGCAAACTAGATCCTCTCTGTGGATTACTTTCCCACTTTAAACTCCCTAATTTGGTTTGCCTTAGGATAATAAACAAGTTTTTCTAAGTGCCCTTTGCCTCGTCAAAAATTATTGGGTCTAACCCTCAGAATGGAAGAAAATATTTGCAAACTATGCTTCAGATAAGGAATTGATAATCAGAATATGCAGGGGATTCAAGCAGCTCACCTGTGAAAACAAGTAATCCAATTTTTAAAATGGGCAAATGAACTGAACAGGTAATTTTCTAAGGAATACTTATGAATGGCCAAAATCCATATGAAAAATGTTCAGCATTTCTTATCATAAGGGAAATGCAAATCAAAACCATGAGATACCAGTGAACCCCAGTCAGAATGGCTTTAATCACAAAAATAAGGACTGACAAGTGCTGGTGAGGCTGTGATGAAAAAGGAACTCTCCTATACTGTTGGTGGCAAATTGGGTCATATTTTTCTATGCAAAATGCATCATGACTTACCCAACGACCTAATAAATTAGCACAGTCACTGTGAAAAACAACATGGGGGTTCCTCAAAACCTACAAATAGAACTACCATACAACCCAGTAATCCCACTTTTTGGTATTTACTCGAAGGACAGGAAAACTCAGTCTGAAACACACTTGCACATCCATGTTTATTACAGCATTAGCTACAATTGCTAAGACATGAAATCAACCTAACTGCCCCAAATCTGATACACTGATTGATAAATGCGGTACATGTACACTAGGGAATATTACTCAGCTAAAAAAAAAGACCCTACCATTTGACTCAAAATGAAGACTATACAAAATTTAATGCTAAGTAAAGTAAGTTAGACTATGAAAGACAAACACTGTATATCCCCACTCAATATATACTGAATGTCTGCACTCTATGGCAGAAATGGAAAGATATGAAGACATGATAGTAAGAAGGACAAATGTAGATACTAGAGATTGTACAGGAAAGGAATAGATAATAGAGGGTGGATGGGAGGGGGTTGGGGAAGAAACAACAGACACAGAATGTAAAGTTCTCTGATAAAAGGATGTATATGGTGGACCGGCAGGTGGCGTGGTGGTTAAGGGCACTGGACTCCCACATGGCTGACTGTGGTTCTAGTCCCAGACCTGGCAGCTTGCTTTCTCTCTTTCTCTCTTTCTCTTGCTCTCTTTCTGTCTCTTTCTGGTCAAATTAAAAATAAATAAAGTTAAATAAAATAATTATTTTTTAAAATTATTTATATGGTAATATCCTTGATTTGTTTGTTGTGCACTGCAGGCATACCTTGAAAAACAACATATTATATGCTAGGAAGATGTACAGTGACACAATATACGTAATTTTAAAAATTATTCCGTTTCCTGGACGTGTGTTTCTGTCCATTTTAATGAGTTTTAGGTTGCCATTTTTAAAATACTAAGACGTTTTGGCTGAGCCATAGTGGTAGTCACTGGGTGCAATACTGGAGCCATATGGGAAGGCCAGGGTTTAGATCTCCACTCAATCTGAACATGCAAGGCATGCTCACAGGTGCATCATACTCCTAGCTAATTGGAAGTCTGGGAGTGGTGGGGTGTATGACCATGGCTTGGCAAGATCCTGTCAGGGTCCCTGGCTCCCTCTCAACCTCTCTCCCTCTCAAAAAAGAAATAAGTAAATAAGCTTTTCAAATATTAAGATGCTTTTATGGCAGTGATATTTCTATAGCTTTCTACCATTTACAACATGAACTAAAGTACGTAAGTGTTTTATTACACACTGATATCCCTGGTAAAAGTGCTCCCACTGTAAGACATGATCTAAGAGAGTTTAAACTGCAGTGCAGATAAACACATGTGACAATATTGTTTGCTCACCAGAAAGAGTAACCTTGACAGACCCAGGATACTTACTGCTGATGCTATCTCCTAAGAACAGGGAACAGGGACCGTGGAAGGCAGAAATAACGCCCTTCCAAACATCTCCACATCCCGCTTCCTGAACCTGTGACTGTTCCTTACACATGAAAGGTGCGAATGGATTAAATCAAGGTCATCAGAAGGAATGACTATTCTGATGATCTGGGCAGCATCAGTCACATTCTAAGAGGGTGGCAGTAGGGTCAGAGTCAGACAAGGTGATGTGAAGATGGAAGCAGAGGTCCGCGGGATGTGGGGCCACAAGCTACAAATGCAGGGGCCTCTTAGAAGCTGAAAAGGGGAAGAACATAAGCTCCTTGAGCCTCCAGAAGGAACAAAGCCCATCCAGGACCTTGATTTTAGCCCTATAAGTTCGTTTCCAACTTGACATCCAGAGCTGAAAGATAGTAAGTTTGTGTTGTTTCAAGCCACAAAGTTGCGGTGATTTGTTACAACAGCAATACACAGCTGAAGAAGGGACTTGATCTGTCTGGTACTGCTGGGTACAGACAGCACCACTCTGTCTCCAGCATCTCAAAGGGGACCAGCACATAGAAGGCTCTCTCTCTCTCTCTCTCTCTCTCTCTGTCTATATATACACATATATATAGACAGATAGATAGATACAGAGATATTAATGCATAATATCTATACATTGTATATAATGTATAAATATTTTGTATATTATCTATATATTATACATTAATATCTACATATAGATGTTACATGTATCTATTACATGCATCTATTATACATTAATATCTATACATTATATATAATGTATAGATAGTCATATATATGTATGGGTGTATACATGTGTATATATGTATGTGTGTATGTGTGTACATGTATATATGTATGTGTGTATGTGTGTACATGTATATATGTATGTGTGTATGTGTATATATACAAATAAATAAAATGTGGAAAAAGTAAAAGAATAAATATTTCTAGACTTGCCAGTGCCGTGAATTGTGCACAATGTATTGGCTTACCGGGAAAGTCATGATGCATTTTTACACAGAAAAACACAGAAGAATACACCATGACTTTTCCAATGACCTAATATAATAATGCTCTAAAATTCAGCTTCTGGAATAGTATCTTTAGGATTGAGATTTGTGAACGGCCTGCACCTGAAGGTCACGCACATGAAGTGCCAGTCATTCACCTAAGTGGGTAATGATAGTGCTAAGTTACTGGCTGATGGAGTGCCAAAAATATCAAGTTACTTGACTAAAGAAAGTGAAACTCTTGGTGAAAAGCTGGAGGACTGGCAAGTACAGGTGACACTGCTCAATTGTCCTACCAGCTGAAGCCAGCAACTTTTTAAATTTTCCTATAGGGTGCATGTGTTTACTGAGAGAGAGAAACAGAGAAAAGGAAAGTAAGAAATCACTCTTTAGGGGGGATGGCCACACCACAACAAATCCTCCTCCATTCTGCTCTTGGGATTTTGGGCGCACACACACACACACACACACACACACACGCACACACGCCCAGTGTTTTTCCAAGCTGCCGGGTCGGGATTCAAACCATAAAGTTATGTGGGATACAGCCTCCTTAATCTCCACACCCCCTGCTGGTTCTGAAGCCTGTAACTTAACAGAGAAGTAGGGGAAAACAAAACAAAACAAACAAACATACAAAAACACCAGCTATGGGGAGATGCTGAAGAGTAAGTCTCAGTTTTTAGGTTCAGATTCTAACAACTGAAAAATAAGCTCCTCAAAAGAATAAGACTCCCACCTCATGAGGTGAAGATCAACAAAATCCTCTGTCCTAATAGACTTTTACACTGGAATTGGGGAGGCAGCGAACAACAGTCAACTCACTTGGGGCTGGAGAGGGGCACAGCAGTCCCACAACTGGATTCACAGGGAAAGTCCTGGGCCCACTTCCTGGGACCTCCCTGACACTCAGGACATGCATACCTGGCCAGCCAGCAGGACTTCGGTGGACACAGCATGAGGACCCCGCTGGGGGTGCCTCTCTCTCTCTCTCTTAGAATAAATGGATAATTTTTTTAAAAAAAGTAAAAATTTTAAAATATTCAGTTTATACTATAAAAGAAAGTAGGAAGAAGTCGTTTTTCTCTAATCCTCAGTGTCTAGTTTAGAAAGTAGTTATTATCTTCTGACTTTCTGGTCATATAGAACTCCCACCAGAATATAATTTTGTTCCAACTCCTACACAAACTGAGATATAAGAGAGTGAGATCTGCAACTACCGGGTCAGCAGAAATGTCATGACATATTTTTTCTGATTTTCTATTCAAAAATGCATCATGACGTTTCCGATGACCCAATAAAATACAGCAACATCAGAGCAGATATGATTCTAAACACGGAGTGCTACCGGGGAAGGAGAGCAAAGAACAGGTAACGACATTTTCACAAAGTAATTCTGAATGCTTCTGAAGTCTGAACATTTTCTAAGCTCCGTCCTAGAAAGTCTCAGTGCCTCAGAGCTCCACGGACGCCAGCACAGGGGGTTACAGGGAATGGTGCCAGCTCTCCTTCGTTTACCCTGAATCGGGCCTTCTTCCTGAGATGTTTTAGGAACATTAACTTTACCATCTGAAAGAAACAAAAGCGAGTGCAAATGGTAGTTAAACGGGCTTATGATTTGTGTGAGAATGAAAGCAGAGTTTCCCCAAAAAATGTAAATATAGAGAAACGTGAGAACAGGATGAACACAAGGGAAATAATTTTAAAAATAAGATGGAACATGTGGGACCAGCAATTGGCAGAATGGCTATGTCGCTGGGCTCCCATGTAGTCAACCGCGGTTCAAGTCCCAGACCCGGTGGCTTAAACTCACGCTGGGCGCATGTGCGTGCGTGCCCAAGATCCCGAGAGGAGAATGGAGGAGAAGGGATTGTGGCGTGGCCATCCCCCCTGGGGGGTGATTTCTCGCTTTCTGTCTCTCTGTCTCTATCTGGCGAGTGCATGCGCCCTATAGCAAAAACCTCTCAAAAAAAAAAAAAAAAAGATGGACCATGTAACGTGCGCAAGCTCCGTGCCCACCTTTCCTCTAAAAACAGTCTGCAGGACAGGAAAGAAGATAATCGGTGAAACACCAAACTGGTCAGTATGAGAATAAAGGACCTGTTCCAGCCTCGCGGTGGCTGGGGGGCCGCTAAGATGCTGGACTCCACAGGCTGGAACCACATGGGAGGCCCAGGTTTGATTCCCTGTCCAACCTAAGGCTGGACACAGCAGTGTGTTTCTGTAATCCCAGCAACTCAGGAGACTGAGGCAGTAGGATCATGAGCTTGCAGCTGGTCTGAGCAACACCTCGAGACCCCACCTGTCTGAAAAAAGAGTCAGTGTGGTGGCGCATGCCTGTGTTTGCAGATGGGAGGCTCAGGTAGGATTCCCACAAGCAAGAATTCATCATTAAAAAAAAAAAAAATCAGTTTTGGTATCAGATGCTCATGAGCCTAATTTAAGAGAAGGTTCATCATGCTTTTATTGACTGTCACAGGGTGCATTTCAAGACGCACAACATCAAATGAGAGATAAACATACTCCTATCAGTATTGTAGAGCCCACACACACAAAAAAAAAAGCTAAATACTTCAACAGGCATTAGGGTAGATAAAACAGACTTATTCTAGAACAAGAAGTCTGCAAAGCATCTACCTTTGTTCTAAACCATCCAAGGACGTTCCTACTTGGAAGAAACACATCCAGAGACTCTGAGTTCAAATCCTTCAGGCCGACTGTGGCTTTATAGGACACCCAGACCGGAATCTTCTCTGGAAGAAGAGCAGCTTCTCCCCTTTAAATAAATGCAAACACAGCACAGCAAGGCTAGCGGCTAGCCAGAGAGTGCACCCGCACCACAGGGCAAAGGATGGCCGCTGGCCCTTTTTTTTTTTTTTTTTTGAGAGGTTTTTTGCTATAGGGCACGTGCGCTTGCCAGACAGAGAGAGACATAGAGACAGAAAGCGAGAAATCACCCCCCAGGGGGGATGGTCACACCGCAATCCCTTCTTCTCCATTCTCCTCTCGGGATCTTGGGCACGCATGCACACGCGCCCGGCGTGAGTTCTAAGCCACCGGGTCCAGGATGCAAACCGCGGTTGACTACGTGGGAGTCCAGCGACATAGCCATTACGCTAACTGCTGGTTCCCATACCTGGCACTTTTTAATAACAACTTCTGGCCACTGAAGGCATCATCTCGAGTTTGTATCACTCACCTGCTATGTTGCAAGAGGCAGCAACACTCAGTGGCTATGGACTGCTGAACTTTCTTCAGAGGGTAGAAAAATAACATAGTTGGGGCCAGCAGGTGGCATCGGGGTTAAGGGTGCTGGACTCCCACACTGTAGACTGCAGTTCAAGTCTTGGACCTGGCGGCTTGCTTTCTCACTTTCCCTCTCTCTTTCTCCCTCTCTCTCTCTCTGTCCCTCTCTGGTCATATTAATAAAAAAACAAATAAATAAAGTTAAATAAAATAATTATTACAAAAATAATAATATAATTAAGGCCTAGATGTGAAAGCGTTTGGTATTTCCCATTATTACCCAGATCCCCACTGTGTCCTTTGCCTTCTTCAAGGCAATCGGTCCCCATCTGGTTTTTATCAGAGCCACACAGCAAGGTCTCCTATTCCATCCAGCAACGTTACCAAACCTCTCTCTCCTTTTTCCCAACGTCAAAGATATCATCAGTAAAGCTCAGAAACAAAAATGAGGAATGCAAAAAAATTGGCCCAAGGAAAGCTGCATAGTAAATTTGACAGATGAGAGACAATCAAGGAGAAGTCGTTTCAAAACACTCACGGTGTCCAAATGTCAAAATGCCCCACTTAAGAGCGAACAGTGTGCACGAAGACTGTGTACAGAGGTTAAGAAGGGGAATAAAGAAAAGTTTAGACGGAAGGTGACCCACTGAGGAACGTGTTACGGCCTACCTAATTAGGCGGCAGACATGGCCATGTCTGTACTTGCAACTCCAAATCAGTTCCGGGGCAAGACACGATATCACCTTGATATTCTTTCCAGTCATCAGAGTTAAATCTATCTTTGTAACGTTAATGTATTTTTAATAGTTTTGGCAGATGAATTCATCTTTCAAAGGTTAGTAAAAAAGCTGAACTTAGGTGGGAGCAACAAAGAATGGGATGTAACCAGGAAATGACAAGCCTTTGGAGAAAATGACCACTGGCACAGTTAGAAATAAAATACACCATTAACGTGAAGGATTTCAAGAAAACCTGAGAGAAAGCACAACAGTAGAAGAGCTGAGGTGCTCTTGAAATGCTGTTCAAGAATGGCTGTCCAGGGACCAGCAGTTGGCGTAATGGCTATGTCGCTGGACTCCCACGTAGTCGACCATGGTTCGAGTCCCGGACCCAGTGGCTTAAACTCACACCAGGCGCGTGTGCATGCGTGCCCAAGATCCCGAGAGGAGAATGGAGGAGAAGGGATTGCGGTGTGGCCATCCCCCCTGGGGGGTGATTTCTCGCTTTCTATCTCTCTGTCTCTGTCTTTCTGGTGAGCACACATACCCTATAGCAAAAACCTCTCCAAAAAAAAAGAAGAAAAAAAAAAAAGAAAAGAATGGCTGTCCCATTCTAAAGATGTAATTCCAACCTGATCCTCAGAATAATTCCAAAGGGGAAAACAGGAAAGGCACCCATAGGGAGGTTTGGCTACTTAGAGAACTGTTTTGGCTAAGATCAGGCTTTGAAATGCATGCATAAAACCAAGAGGGACAAGGTTGTAGAAAAGAGAATGTCTGGGGACCTGCAGATGGTGAAATGGTTATTTTGCTGGAGTCCCACATAGTTGACTCGGGTTCAAGTCCCAGACCCAGCAGCTTAAAATTCACTTCAGGTACATGTGTGTGCGTGCTCAAGATCCTGAGAGGAGAATAGAGGAGAAGGGATTAAGGCGTGGCTGTTCCCGCTGGGGGGTGATTTCTCGCTTTTTGTCTCTCTGTATCTCTCTCTCCCCTACCCCCCCAAGCAAGCACACATGTCCTATAGCATGTCCTTAAGTAAGAAAGAAAGAAAGAAAGAAAGAAAGAAAGAAAGAAAGAAAGAAAGAAAGAAGAAAGAAAGAAAGAAAGTCTGAAGTGCAAAATGAACTGAGACTGGCCAAAAAAAAAAAAATTAAACAATTAAATAACTACCTGTTTGTTTACTTATTATATAATCATAATACACAATTCTATGTTATTACATGGTATTATAAAATATAACTATATAATTTTTGTAAATATATGTGCATATATTTAGCCATGGACAAAAGAGAGAAACTGATGGCCCACCATTGAGGTGGCGGTAGGATTGTTTGTTGTTGTCATTGGGTGTACGCACTTGCCAGAGAGAGACGGGGTAGGGGACAGGGAGTGAGAAATCATGCACTAGGGGGCATGGCCATGCCACAATCCCATCTCTTCATTGTCCTCTCAGGATTTTGGACACACACGCACACTTGCCTGGCATGTTTTTTCAAGTCAATAGGTCCAGGACTCACACTGCACAGTCAGCCATATGGGATCCAGCCGCCTTAATCACCTGGGCTAATTGCTGGCCCAGGGGTTTTGTTTTGTTTTGTTTTGTTTTTAATGTCGGGTTTAAAAGGTTCTCATTTGAGGACAGCACCAAATGTCAAGATGTTTCTTCTTTATACTGAGCAAAATTCACCATCCTGTGCCTGCACCTCGGCAGCTGATAGACTGAAATACCAGGAGGGAGTCCATCTGCACTGGAGGACACAGACGAACAGCCAATGGCTCCTGGCACCAGGAAACCTGGGTAAGTGGGAAAGCCAGACAGAAAGCAGCAGCAAGTGCTGGGAGAGTGACGAGCTGCAAAACGTACCCCTATCGAAAGAAATTAACATTTAAACTTGAAACTTAGATAAGTACTACGCTGGCCCGAGCAAAACAGCCTCAGATTTCACCCAAGTGAAATCCCTGATTTAGAAGATTCTTAGATTGAGAGGTTTAACTAACTTCCCCCAAAACCTCACAACCAGATGATAAAAACATACCAAAGGAGATAGTAAGTTCTAGCAGCAGTCAACTGGCTTACCTGACAACGTAACCTGATTGGAACGCGGAAGCGTCCAGCTCTGTGGTCCATTCCAGTGGTTCTACAAAAGCATATTTTGCTTCTTGAGGATGTTTATAGATAAAACTCTCCACAAACATTATAATTTCATTCAATATCGCTTCATTTAGAGGGGTAATTTCCAGGGTTCCGGTCCCGTGTCCGGCCGCAGTCCACTGCGCCGATCTGGTCAGCGCCACGCCCATGGGCTCCGTGGACACTCAGCTCAGAGCTCAGCACACACGCTGCAGCAGACAGGAGAGTGAGAGACTGGAGCATCCAGCTTTGCACTGGAGTATTTCTTTCCTTCAGGACTATAAACTGGTAGTACCCAACCCACATTCCTCTTAGTAATCTTAGAGATTACTTTTTAAAAAAACAATGATTGATTTAACTTTATTATTATTATTTAATTTGCTATAGGCCACATGAATTCACCAGAGAGAGAGAGACAGAGAGGGGGAGAGAAAGAGAGGGAAAGTCAGAAAGCAAGCCTCCAGGTCTGGGACTCAAACTACTGTTGGCCACAGGGGAGTCCAGTGCCTCAACCGCCATGCCACCTGTTGACCCCCTTAGAGATTTCTTTTAAAAATTACCTAACTGTTCAATGATTCAATAAAATATTAGGTCATTGGGAAAGTCATGACATATTAATCTCCTTTTCTCTGCAAAAATGCGCCCTGACTTTCCCAATGACCTCATAGTGAGCCAGTTCCAAGTAAAGCCGACTAGCATTTAAGGATTTTTGAACATCAGGTAACATCTTTCTAATATCCCTGGGTCTGAGGAAGAAAATTCAAACAGCTGGGCAGATGATCCAAGCAGAAAACTCCAAGAGCAAAACCAAGGAGACTGGCATCAAAGTCTTTCCTTACAGCTCTGCTGGGGCCAGGGGTCTACGTGAGCAAGGCTTTTGTTTTATTTTGCTTTATCATTTGTAACAGGGCATGTGCACGCATTAGAGAGAGACAGAAAGGGAAAG